GTGAATTCACGCACCTACAATATTTAAATGGCAATGGAATACCCTTGTCTGACAAAACTAAACAAAAAAATGGGATAAAAATGAAAGACCATTTTGTATCTGTATATACAAAATAGGATAGATATACAGCTACTTTCCCTTAATTCAATGAAAAGAAAGATTTGTACTAATAGTGTTTGAACAGGATAGCACATCTGCATCTTGTACTATGAATAATTACTACAAAGACAACGATATGCAATGTATTTTTTATTTATTTATTTATTTATTTATTTATTTGAGAGAGAGAGAGAGAGAGAGAGAGAGAGAGTGGTGTGTGTGTGTGGCCAGCTCAGTCCACCAGGGGGCAGGGCTGGCTGGCATGTGGTGCTGGGGGATTGAACCGCGGTCCCTGATGCTTTTGCTAAGCTTGTTCTAAGTAGGTGCTTCAGACCACCGAGCCATCTCTCCAGCCCTGCAATGTATTAATTATTGAAACTGTCCTACTAATCGGTTTTAAAACTCTGTCAAAGCTATTTCTCAATAAAATTAATATACAGAAAAAGCAAAAAAAAAAAAAAAGTTGACTATTTGCATCCAAGTTTCTTTCACTCAGCACAATGTATAGAAGTTTCATCTTTATGACAGCAGGTACTGGAGTTTAGTTCTTTTTTTTGGGGGGGGGGAAGGGAGAATTGAACTCAGGCCCTTGTGCTTGCCAGGGAAACGCTTATTCCATTGAGTCATCTCCCCGGCCCCAGTTTAGTTCTTTTTAAAGATGTATGAAAATTTCCTTGCAAGGAGACAGCACATTTTGTTTATCCACTCACTTGTTCGTATATTCAAGTTGTTTCTAACTTTCAGCTGTTGTGAAGCATGGGGCCATGAACACTGGTAAGTTGAAATCCTTGCTTTCAACACTTTTGGTTATATACTTAAGTAGGGAACTGCTGCATTATATGGTAATTCTACGTTCAATTTTCACAGGAGCCAACATACTGTTTTACAAATAATCTACATTATTTTTCATTCTACCAGCAATGTACATTTGTTTCCGTTTCTTCATAATGTTGTCCATACCTGTTATCTTCTCTGTGTTTAACAGCCATTCTAGTGAATCTGAAGTGGTATCTCACTGTGGTTTTTATTTGCATTTCTCTACAGCGTGTTGAGTATCTTTCCAACTGCTGATTGGTCAAGTCCTGATTTTAAATTGAGTTTTGTTTAGTTTTAGAAGGCTTTTTACATATTGTGGGTATTAATTCCTTGGATATATGGATACACAACTTATAAATATTTCCTCTATTCTGCAGACTACCTTTTCACTCTACCCACAGTGCCTAGTATAACATTTTGAGAAAGAGTTATCAAACCTGCCTCAAATTCAAAAAGAAATAAATGAGGTATCAAATTAAAAAGATTCTGCAAAGCAAAAGAAATAGCCAACAGCGCTGGGGAGATAGCTCAGCGTTCTAAGTGCCTACTAGGAAGCACAAGTACCTGAGTTCAATCCTTAGTACTGTATGCCATGCTGGCCCTAGAACCCTGGGCACGCTATGCCAGCCTCCAAAACCAGACATGGTGGTACACGCCTGTAATTCCAGCGCTGGGAAGACTGAGACAGGAGGATCACTATGAGTCCAAGCTGCACAGTGAGACCCTGGACCAGACAAATAAAAGTTTTTAAAACAATTTTAAATAAACATAAAAAAAAGTAGCCAACAGTGAGAAGAGGGAATGAAAAAAAGAATTAAAATGCGTTATATACATGTACAAACTCCACATGAGGAATATAACTATTACAGACTGCAAACATGTTCTCATCAAAGAAAAACAAAGAGGCCACACAAACTTAGAATCCCAATTTTACACTAAAAATAGTTTTCATATTTTTAAACAACTTTTAATAAATAGAAACTAGTATATATGTGATAGAGACCTATATTGCTTGAAAAACCTAATTGTCACTGTTTGACCTTTTGTTTCAATGTGAATTTATAGTTAAAGAAAAAAGATGAGTTTTCTTTATGAAAGGTTTTAAAGTACAATGTTGTTTTTCAAAATGGAAGGACAAATATTTGTGTTTTATTTAAATAATTCAAACAAGGACCAGCCAAATAGCTCAGCAGATTAAAGCTCCTGCAAGCAGGCACAGGGGCAGGGGGAATGATCCCCTGGCCTGCCGTGCTGGCCCTGTCCAGTGGGCACACTGAGACGCTGATTGACACTGGGTGTGGTGGCACGCACTTGTAATCCCAGCACTTGGGAGGCTGTAAAGAGGAGAATCACTGAGTCCGATCTAGTAGTGAGACCCTGAACACCCTGTAGACCCTTCCTTAAAAATACTGAAGAAATATAAATAAAATAAATAAAATAATTTAAGCAGGGTACTGAGATTCACAATCTAGCTAAATGATTCCGCAAAGTTGTGAGTTCTATCTTGAGAAAGTATCAAATTCCATTACCCAAGTTCTAAGTAGCTGGGGCTATTTAATAGTCTATATCATGATGAGAAATTACCAGTGCTACAGCTTGAATGTGTGCCCCACATTTTGTGTTGGGAACTTAATCCCCTAGGTCATGACTTCTGGGGGTGCCTGTATCATGATGGCTCTGCCCTCTGGAATTAATGGGTTGCCCAAGGGGTGGGATTTTTTTTTTTTTTTTAAATAAAAGCAAGCTCTGTCTCACAGTGTTACCACATGACTCCATCTACTATGTCAAGACCCAGCTGGAAGGGTCAACAGAGATGACCCCAGAGGTTTGCACCATGCTGTCTGACTGCTCAGCTTCCAGCAGTATGAGCTAAATAAATGTCCATTCTTCATAAATTATCTGTTCTCAGGTACCGTGTCACAGAAACAAAGGACAGACATATCTAGGAAGTACTGGTTACCTACAAAAACGTTCCAGTTAAAACTCTGAATTCATTATACTGTGCTCTGAAGGACTAATTTTGAAATGTCATAAATTTTCCAACCTTCTTTATAGAAAATGTTCACTTTTTTATTGAACTCGGAGCCAAATAATAAAATTTCCAATGTTGCTGGACATTGAACCCAGAGCCCAGGCCGGGGAGATGGCTCAGTACAATAAGCACTTTCCTGAACCCAGAAGCCCAGCAGAAGTGCTATAGTTCTAAGTTATACTCTCAGCCCCTACTCTTACGCTTTTAAAAGATCAATTAAAAATTGAGGGCTGTGGCTTCAAATCCAAAGGATCCATCACAAGGAAAATTTCTGTAATCTGGGAAGCTGATAAAGTTAATCAAGATTAAGTTGGATGGGGGCTGGGGAGATGGCGCAGTGGATAAGTGTTTCCCTGGCAAGCACAAGGGTCTGAGTTCAATCCCCAGTTCCACCAAAAAAAAAAAAAAAAAAAAAAGATTAAGTTGGATGAGTCCAGAACCAGGAACTCTTTCTTTCTAGCATACATTTTTACCATTTGGCAAAAACTCTTTCCTATTTTAAGGGCACCTTATAAGATGAATAAAAATGTAACAAATGTGGCAGAGACCCCACTCTGTTGTTCCCTCCCTTTATGTTTTGTTTTGTTTCATGGTACCGGGGATTCAACTCAGAACCTTGCACTTGCCAGGCAAGTGGTTATTCTACTGAGCTATCTCCCTGGCTCTAAAGGCCAAATTGAGGTTTTTTTGTTTTTATTTTTTGTGGAACTGGGGTTTGAACTCAGGCCCTCGTGTTTGCCAGTCAAGCACTTATTCTACTGAGCCATCTCCCCAGCCTGTTCCTTCCCTTTAACTTCAAAAAAGTCTGTAGATAGTACAAGTAGGAGTTATGGCACTTGCCTACAATCCTCAGTACTCAGAAGGAGGCTGAAGCAGGAAGATCTATCAAAAAGAAATCAGTAAAGGGCCAGTGAGACAGCTCAGCAGACTAAGCTCCTGCTTTGGCACCACAGGCCATGTGGCCCAGCCCCTGGTGCGTGCTCAGCCCCTGAGACCTGGCAGGTGGCACCCCTGTAATCCAAGCACTGGGGAGCCTGAAAACAGGAGGAGCTCTATGAATCTGAGCTGCATAGCTCCCTGTACCAAATACATTAAAAAAAGAAAAAGAAAAGAAAAAAGAAATCAATACTCTCTTTAGACACATCTTTCACTTAAAAAACAAAAAATATCTTATGGATAGAGACCGTAGCTTTTTCATATTAGTATTTCTGACTAAAAGCAGAATATCAAACCATAGTTATGAAAAATATCTGCTAACTGAAAGTAATCAAGACAAAAACCCCAGCTGGTGAGATGGCTCAGTGGTCTAAAGCACCTACTTAGAACAAGCTTAGCAAAGCACAGGGACCGCGGTTCAATCCCCCAGCACCACATGCCAGCCAGCCCCGCCCCCTGGTGGGCTGAGCTGGCCACACACACAAACACACACACACACACACACACACACACACACACACACAAATAAATTTTAAAAAAAGACAAAAACCCAAAAGTAAATAATTTATGTAATGGCTGAATACTAGATAGCAACCATGAAACATTAAAGACCATTAGAAAACAAAGAATATTTCAGACAAGATAGAGGCCCAAAACCAGTAAATGCTTCCTAACTTGCTCCTAACATACAAAGAAATAGAAGAGACAAATGATTATGATGTCCATGTTAGTTTTAACGTTTTAGAATGGGCATGGGACTCTACTTACCTGTGGTAACACATCTAACCAAAACAAGAATTTCTTTTTTTGCCCAAAATAATAACACCTCCATAGGGCAAGAGTTTATATTACATAAAATAGCAACTAGATATTCTTTTAATTAAAAAGGGTTATTTTTATAAATATCCCCCCAACAAATGTTTTAGACAAGAGAAAAATCAAAACAGAGTAAGGACAAGAGTACTTGCAGGCCCAACTGAAATAAATCAAAAGCAGCCCTCTCCAGCCAAGCCCTGCAAGCCCTGCTCCTGACAGCTGTGACTGACTGCTACGTAAACATTTACTATAATTCAGCAAACTATCATATGAACACAGGAGTTTATAGCAGAAAAATTACCTCTCGAACTTCATCATCTTCTTCACTGGTATTTTTTTGCCTGCTTTCTCTGAAACGGCGTACCTAAATCATAACAGAGTAAATTGCAAACACATTACTAATCTCAGTTATATAAGTACAATATAGTGTACCATGGTTAAGAAATGATCCTTAGTGGTTAAGAAATGATCCTTAGTGTAACATAAAACTTGAAAATTTAACTAGAGTCTATCTCCAAAAAAGTGACCAAAGAAAGAAATTATATGTTTCAGTTCCATTAAAATACCAGAAATATGCTGTAAAAACATATTGGCTCTAAGCAAAATTACATTATCTGCTGCCAAAATGTTCTATGCCACTGAAAAACATCTGTGAGACTGCAAAGGAGAAGCAATTCTAATGGCCTACAGGCACTGTACTTCAGTGAAATAGTTAGAAATAAATGTACCTCCTCTATGAGGCTCCAAGTCTTTATTACATGCCCAAGTCACTCTTGTACACCTGGCTGCAAGCCACCTGGCAGGCCCTCTGAAATGGCATCTCAAGTGAGTGGGCCTCTAAAGACCTACTTTTATTAATAATCAAGTAGTGAACACTCTGGATCTAAGAGCAACACTACAGACTTCTTTTTTAATCTTTCCTGCTCACAAGGCTCCAACAAAGCAGTTACAGTTATTTGATAACTATGTAATCTGTTTAATAATCTATCCAGCAACTACTATGTACAAGGTGCTACTATCAGATGGAAACATGAAAGTAGTCAAAAACTGCCCTTGCGAAGCTGACAAGCTAATGAGAATCTGGGAGGGAAGATAGTCAATGACAAAATTAAAAGTTACATTTTTATAAGGCAAAAAGGACGATGTTATAGTTTATCCCTGAAGAGTCTCGGACATCTCCAGGGTCACTGTGTTTGCTGATGGCTTCAACCTGTATGACTACGAGTGTGTGGCCAGAGGGCCTGCTGCTCAACACCTGAACCACTGTTTGCAAACACAGACTAAGGAAGCTATGCCAAAGTGTCTCACTGGCTGCCTGGAGTCTTCTTACTGTACTCTTACTCTCGCTTTAAAATAAAATCCTTGGGGGTGGGGAGCTGGAGAGATAGCTCAGAGGCATAAGCACCGACCTGGCAATCACAAGGACCTTAGTTCAATCCCTAGCCCCACATGCCATGTGGTACCCAGCATGATGGCACATGCCTGTAACCCTAGCACTCAGGAGACTGAGACAAGGTCTCTGTGCGAGTTCGAGACCAGCCTGAAGGCTACAAAACTGAGCACAAGGCCAGCCTGAACTGCAGAGTGAGACCTTGTCTCAAAAATAAAATAAAGGGCCGGGGAGATGGCTCAGTGGAATAAGCGCTTCCCTGGCAAGCGCAAGGGCCTGAGTTCAATCCCCGGTTCTGCCAAAAAAAATAAAATTAAATTAAATTTAAAAAATAAATAAATAAATAAAAGTAAGGGCCAGCCTGATAGCTCAGTGGATTAAAGCGCCTACTTAGGCAGAGCTCAGCAGCCAGGGTGCAGTGCCGCCCCACCCATAGGGCACGCTGAGATGGCAACTGAGACTGGGCATGGTGGCACGCACCTGTAATCCCAGCATTTGCAAGGCTATAAACAGGAGAATCACTACGAGTCTGATCTACATAGTGAGACACTGCAGACCCTGTCCTAATAGAAAAATAAAATAAAATAAAATCCTTGGGCTGGAGAAATAGCTCAGTGGACTAAAGCACCTGCTTAGGCAAGCATAGGGAAGTGCAGGGACTATGGTTCAATCCCTGGCACCACATGTAGTACCAGCCCCGCCCCCAAGGCAGGGCCAAGCCAGCCATAGTCCGGGCACAGCTGCATATGCCTTTAATGCCAGAGCTGGAGAGGCTGAAAACAGGGGGATCGCTATGAGTCCAAGCTGTGTAGTGAGACCTTGTAACAACCAAATACATTAAAAAAATAAAAATAAAATCCTTACCATGGACTGTACTCCCAGGAATCTTGAGAATCCTTTCAAATATTTGCAGCTGGCAATCTTTGCAAAAGGTAAGTACTCAGAGAAAAGTAAAGTGGAAAATGGGACAGGAAGTGTTATGGAGAAATTACAGCTTAATAGAATGACCACAGCAGACCTCACTGAGCTCACACACAAGTGACGAGTTTAACAGGTAGGAAATGAACCATGCAAGTACATGGGAAAAATCATTCCACCCACAGGAAAAAATACGCGCAAAGGCTCTGGGGAAAAGCAGGTCAGGCATGTTGAAGAAAACACCAACGTCACTGGGGCTAGAACACACACGAAGGTGAAGCAGCAGTAGAAAGCTGGAACAAACAAAGCTTTCCAAACAATCATAAGGAGTTTTTAAAGGCAAGTGACTATGTCTGAAAAGTTGGGGTCAGTAGATAGCTGTACTGAAGATTAAAATGGAGAGGGGACAGGTTGAAGGGCAAGAGCAAGGGGATTCACTTAACAGGTTACTGGGAAAACCCAGATGAGAAATATGGAGCAGAGATCAAGGTGGTTAAGGAGCAACCAATATTGTACACACTAACAGAGGAGCCCATAAGATTTTTAGACAGTCAAGACCAGGGTCAGAATGACAGGAGTCAAGAGGAATTCAAGGCTTTTCATTGGAGCAATGAAAGAATGTTACTTTTATAAGAACAGCAGGCCTGCAAGCAGGGTGTGAGGATCAGTCATGTAACCTGGAACTGTTTGAAGTCTGAGATGTCTACTAAATGTCAAGTAGGTTGTCAGAGAGGGACGCCTACAGCTGAGAGGAGAGGCCTGCCACAAACAGGAAACTGAATGAGCTTACCAGAGGGGTTGTCTGGATGGAGGTGGTACCCCAAGATGCAATTCTGGGGTTCCAGTTTGAGCAGCAAGAATATAGTGAAACTATGCAGCCAATAAGGAAGGAAAGAGCCTGAGAAGAGTCTAAGAAGTCAGAAAGAATGTCTTCAGACTGACTGACAATGGACAGCAACAGAAGTGACTGGAATGATGGGGTCAAAAGCCTAAACCAACAGGCTTAAGAGAAAAACGGGAGACAAATTAGGCAGCAGATACTGGAAACACCGGGGCCATTCTGCTATATATATAGATTAAAAAAACTGCAGTAGCTCCTGAAAAATGGAATGTAGAGTTGTGCTTGCTTTTTTTTTTTGATACAGGGTCTTGCTATGTAGTTCAGACTTATACTGATTCTCCTGTCTCAGCCTCCCTAGCGCTATCATTACAGGTATGTGCCACCACGCCCGGTTCTGGGGCTGGCATGGCAAGCCTGAAGTTCTGCGGCTGGTACAGCATGCAGTACCATGTATCAAACTGAGGACCCTGTGCTTGACAGGTAGGCCCTCAGGCTGCCAAGCCATCTCCCCAGTCCTGTGTTTGCTTCTTAAATGTAAATATCAGCATATTTATTATGACTGGGGAGGCAACACACACAGAAATAATCTTTGAAAAAGATGATAAACATGTAACAAAGCTGCAATCCATATGAAACAAACCCAAAGTGTTGCCACTTGTGCACAGGGAATGAGTTATGGTAAACATGAAAAGGTACAGTGTGCCAGGCAGTATGGTACATACTTTCCCTGTACTTTTTCTTTTTAATCCTTACACCATGGAAAGATATTCCATTATCATCTCCATTTTACAGATGAGGAAACTGAGGCCCAAAGTGGTGAAAGAACTCACTGATGAATACAGAAGTAACAAAGATTTTGACTTTGAATCTAGGTAGCTTGGTCCAGAGCATGTGCTTTCTGCCACCGTGCTACCTACGCTCGTGTGTATGTGCACACACAGCCACAAGCTTTACAATTCAGGAGTCAGTGTCCCCACTCCTACAGGTAGTCAAGTTTATTTCTGGTACTTAATCGAGAAATGTACTGTGCTGAAAAACAACAAACAATGGACTGAATCCTCTGGAACTGTGATACAAATTAAATCTTTCTGCCTTTAAGCTGTGGATGTTGGGTACTGTGCTTCCTAGAGATATGTAAGACTCTGTTCTAGCTATTTTCTAGGTATTTTCTAATGTAGTCCTCACTTTTACAGTTGAAGAAACTGAACAAATCACTGAGGTTAAATTACAATGGGGAGGGCTGTTCAGAGGTATTCTCAAGAACAGACTGTCCAAAATGGAGCTACACACCCAAATTAGTCACTCACCTCTTCATCAATTTTATCTTCTAAGGCATCAATACGACGTTCTTTAAGAAATCTCTGTGTTTTTTCCAGCTGGTATTTCACTAACTCCTCAATGGCATCTTTTTCTTCCTTATCTACAAATTCTTGTACGGCTTCACCCATCCCTCTTTCTGTCAGTAGTGAAAGTTGGACATTCTGTAAAAGAGATGTGAACCATCAGATGCAGAAATAGTATCCACTCCTTAGAAAATAGCTATGAAGAGCAAGGCAAATTACAGGATAAAGTTATCTGAAAGTAAAAAAGTTGTGTGAGAGGAAGCAGCAAACAAACTACTAGATAGTAGTTAAGCCTGCTGATAAAAATTAAGGATAAGGAAAAGCAAAGTTAAATTAAGAAAAGGAAGGGGAGTCAAGAACAGGTGATGCAAGACCTGAATAGCTGGGACAGTCTAGAAATGGCTGCTGCCGACTGAGTTCAGGTTAAACCCTAATGTTGGCAGGCAAGATAATTTCCCCTCGTAGACATGCAACTCTTAATCTCTGGGAGCTGTGAATATGTCACATAATGAGGGGGAATTACAGTTACAGGTAGGATCAAGGCTTCTCATCAGCTGACTGTAAAATAGATTCCAGGGACACCTGAGGTGAATCCAGCAAAGGGAAAGAGCAAGGCAGGAAGAGGGAGCCAGAGGGAGACATGTGAGAAGATGCACACACTGCTGCTTCGAAGATGGACAACAGCGACCAAAAGTCAAGAAGGCTGGCACCACTAGAGACTGGAAAAGGTAAGGAAACAGATCCTCCCTTTGAGTTTTAGGAAAGAACACAGTTGTGCTAATACCTCGAGTTCAGTCCAGTGAGACCTGAGGCAGATTTCTAACCTAAAGAATGGCCAGATATTTGTGTAGTTTTAAATAAGTACAAACAGATAAACTTAGAGTGACATATACCCTTGATAGTTTGAATAGCTTCACAATACATGGCTGCATTTATAATTCTGAAATTATGTTCAAATAATCAAATTCTATAGTAAGACTTTTAAGTAGAAATAAAAAAATAATAAGTCACACTAATATAACATGAACTGAGCACTAATTTTTATTATGATTAAGATTATAATTATTGGTTTTTAGACAGGCTCTCACTATGTAGTCCAGGGTGGCCTTAAATTCTTAGCAATCCTGCCTTAGCCTCCCAAGTACTGGGGTTACAGACAAGTGCCACTACTCCCAGCCTAATTTTTACTATGTACAATGAATTTAAATAAATGTTACCCTACTTCATAGAAACACTGATAGCGTTTTTCTTTTTTTAGGGGGGTGGTATTTGTTTGCTTTGCCTTTTTGAGGTAGAGTCTCACTGTGAAGATCAGGCTGGCCTTTAACTCACTTCGTAGCCCAGGCTGGCCTCAACCTGCAGTAATCCTCTTGCCTCAGCTTGCTGGGATTACAGGTGTGCACCATCATGCACAGCCAATAGTGTTCATTTTAAGGTAGAATTATTCATACCCTAAATTAGAATACATTATCATAACATAGCCATTGTTCAAAATATAAACTAGAAGACATTACCTTTTCTGCAGTTTGAAAATACTGTTTTACAAGGTCCTCTACCCTAAGAGTTGTTCCTTCTGAAGGCTTTGTGATAAGATTCCCAAAGTTAATTTCTTCTCCTAGAAAAAAAACATTTATTTTAAAAACAGCAGCCACCAAAGCAAAACAGCTTCTGTTATGCTGAAGTGGCAAAGCTCACTCTGGTCTGCTGCTGCTATGTGGGGAATGGCCAAGCTCCAATCCCAACTTGCACAACACAGTATTCTCAGGCAGGAAGAAGGCATCTTTTTTTTTTTTTCCTAATTTTATTTATTTATGTGTGTGTGTGTGTGTGTGTGTAGCCAGCTCAGCCCACCAGGGGGCGGGGCTGGCTGGCATGTGGTGCTGCGGGATTGAACCGTGGTCCCTGTGCTTTGCTAAGCTTGTTCTAAGTAGGTGCTTTAGACCACTGAGCCATCTCACCAGCCCAAGAAGGCATCTTTGTAAGAGTCACTCTCCCACTGTCCGTATTCACTCTCCTTCCTGGGAGTGTGTGTGTGTGGGGGGGAGGGTGTCTCCAGAGGCCTTTTCCGGGAGTGTGCCTATGGTGGCTTAGTTAACTGTCAACTTGAGTCAGTGTGGTACTGGGTGCAGAAGATCTAACTGTTGCTGAATGATGCAGAAGGAGAATGGGAGGGAGAGACTGCAGGCTGTGGGTTCTCCTGAAGCTTGCGGGGCTGCTCTCCCAATACCGCTCGCTGCTCTTGGAGGAGGAGCTCAGGTCCTCCTGTGGCCAGGGCCAGCTCTGGCTCTCCTGGAGAGCTCTGCTCTTCACCTTCACCATCACTTCCTGGCTCCAGCACAGACCCCTCAGCCTCTGGCTTGATCCTTCCCCTGCCTGCACAGACTTTCTAGCTTCAAAGATTGGTCGCAGGGCCTTTCTGACACGGATTCTCCATGCAAACCTGCATGAGACATTGCAGTGGCCTCCAGGACTCTGGCTGAACTCACTGGAGATACTGCCATGGGATCCAGGCCCTTGGCTGGATTCTGGAGTCTATAGCTTGTGGAAAGATCTCTCCTATTCCTCTGCATTTGACTTTTTGGGTGAGTATTATAAAATAATCACTTAAACTATGCATCCTGTATTAAATATATTCCCTTACAAACCACTAACTAATGTCAAATCAAAACAAATTTCATAATACTAATAAAATGATTTTGCCTTTGTTTACTGTATGGACATTCGTACTAGTGATACAAAAGGAACTGAGGGGAAAACTGCCAGTGCCTTGGGTTAAGTCAAGGTAGTAGCACTGAGCTGCACAGAAGTCACAATTCAAAACTGTCAACAAGCCAGTTTATCTAAGAATGTCTCCAAAGAAGCAATGGAAAGTACAACTTAGACTGCCGCACTTAAGCTCTATTTCTTCAACATAAGACAAAGGAAATGTGCTTAAAGCACTTCTGTATGTCCCCCCCCCCCCCTCACTACAGAATATCAAACTCTGAACCTTGTGCTTGCCAGTCAGGCGTTTAGGCCACTGAGCTACATCCCCGGCCCTAAAGCACTTCTGCTGCATTCCTAAACAGGATGACTGTCTTCCCCTTCCCCCAAACCAGCAGGACGGAACGAAAATACCATGTTGAAGAAACTTAACAAACACTTGCTGCTCTTGGGTGTCTGCTGAGATCCCTTCTGTGCTAAATGGACATTAAATGTCTAGCAACTCTGAGAACCTAGTATTAAAATACAATAATGAAAGTGAATATGGTGGCATAATCCCAGCACTCAAAAGGCTGAGCCAGGAGGATTGCTGCAAGTATGAACCCATCCTGGGTGAAGTGAGTTCAAGATCAGCCTGAACTACAAAGTGAAACCCTGTGCTTAAAAAATAAACAAAAAGCACAATGATGTAAAGGACAGGTTCCCTGACCATGGAAACAAATATGACAGTGCAAAGTGACAAGTGCAAAGAACACAACACACAAAGAAGAAGGCCGTTAATTCTTCTCCAAGAAGGCTGAACAGCATAAGCAGACATCAAAGACAGCTATCATTTACGTCAAGAATTACAGAAGGAACAAGATTCACTAAGCAAAAGAGAAAAGCATTTCCACAGGAAAAGAATGTAGAAAAGCGGAGAATGTAAAGAGACACAAAGTTCAGTGTCTCTTGCCAAACATACAAAGATCTTATGTGAGTTTCAAGCTGAAGAGTTAGTAATACTTCATAAATGACTAGTACTTTCTTACTTTGCCAGTGTTAAGACCATTAGCACAAAGCACCTCATCTGGCCTCACAGCAACCCTGAGGCCAGTAGCTATTATCTTCTAGATAATGCTAAATAGCTGAGGTTACTAATGTGCACAACACTACACACGCAGCTAAGCAGCAGAGTTGACCAAAACAACAGAAAATGCAAAAACCAGAAATGTCCTGTAAGACTTACAAAAGTGTTTCCACTGAGCAGTATAAGTTGAATCAAAACAAGGATTGCTATTAGGAAACTCACTAGCAACAAAACTGAAGAAAGGATATACTGTAGTTTTCTTTTTTACTGGTAGCAGGGATCGAATTCAGGGACCAATACCTGCTAGAGACGCACTGAACCAATGACCTATGTATTTTTCTTTTTCTGAGAAAGCCTTGCTATGATCCTCCTGATTCCATTTATTGAGCATAGTTTTCTTCTGAATGCCACACTCATGATGTTTCAAGAAATTGAACAGGGTACACAAAAGAAAGCCATTAGCAAGAAACAATTAAATCTGGACTAATAAAACTAGGGTGATTTACTTGTAAACAAAGAGTCATATGTTCCTATGAAAACTCTCTTAGTGAACAGTCTAAGAACAAGAGCCCCAACGCTTAACATGGTAATTTTTTTGTGAAAAAATCACTTTCATTCAATGACCCTTTATAAGTGTTACAAAAGAGCAATTTGTTTTTATAAAAATTGTAATTAGAAATTAACTACCTAGATCATCAGAAATGGCAAACTACAGAAAACTTCTTCAAAAGCCTTCCTAAACCACTATACAATCTCAAATTGAAATACTTAATAATGCAAAATTTCAAAGTATATTCTCTGAACATTAATGACATACAGTAATCTGCATTACTAGTCAGCAGCACTGTTAAAAAAACTTTTTATTTCTGTTTATAGAGAAAGCCTTCAATTTCATTTATATCTACAAGTTTCAAACTGTTAATTTTTAGAAGACAAAAGATTTAAATATTCCAACTATCATTTTTGTCTACATTACAATATACTAAAACATTTCCTAATATTATTTAATTTTTTTTTTTTACCAAATACTAATGTACACAAACCATATAAAGGCATTTATGAACTTGTAAAACTAAGTAGCTTACCTGTTTTTTCCTTTTGTTCCTTATGCCTGAAAAAATGGATAATGTCTTTAGGATTTGCTACCCGATCCACAAATTTCTGGCTAAAACGATGAATGCTGAAAGGCTCAAATCCTCCACTATAATTCACCTGGAAATACAGAATAACCTCTGAAGGGTAGGAAATAACAATTTGCCAATTTTTGAGACACACACTCATTCTTTGGTATTTATAGTGTCTATGTTCAATACTCTGAAATTTATTTTATTTATTTATTTATTTATTTATTTTTAGAGGAGTTAATCTCCATCACATTTTATTGTTTCTGATACAGCAGTCAGAATCTTCAAAAAACAAGGGCAGAACTACAAGTACAATCAAAGCTTCTGCACCTTAAGCCATTTAGTCCTAAAACTGAGTTAAGCAAGGCAAAGCAACTTTCCTCCAAACTAAATAGGTCTCCAGTATTCCACCTCGCTGAGCTTTCAAACACCAAGTGCTTAGGACTTAATACAGTGTTAATTATGCCTGAAGAGCTTAATACCCATTCAGGTCCAGAGGTGGAAGAACACATACACTGGAATGGTGATGGACAAGAGCAGACTGTAAAAGCAAAGGCTGGCTGTACTTGTGCAGCCCTGTGGGAAGCCTTCCTCCACAGAGGCTGAGTAGAACAGTCCTGCTAAGGAGATCAGTGGAATAAGCACAGTCAGAGTAGGCAGAGACAGAAACATTCTTCCTCCTCACTCACAAACTGCTGCCGCCCTGTTTTAAAGTATATATAAGAATTAAGAAAATGTAATGTAGCAGTGTTTTTTTAAAACGTTGATTCAGTGCTGCTCTGTTTCTTCTTGCTTCTTCTGTTGATGTGCTGCTCTAGCTGTTTGTGGTATCATGTTAGGAATCCCATCAATGATTGGATAAGCTATCCCCAGCTCTTCATTGATCAGTTCATTTGTGGATGCTTCATATCGGAGTGGCTTCTTGGAGAGAGGGCACACCAGGAACTCCAGCAGCACAGGGTCGAAGGCGCGGGTCGGCTGCTCTGCCCCCTTGCTTGCCCCCGCCATGAACCGCAAGCCAGCCGCACGGATGGCCCAGGGCACTACTGCCCACGGAGGTGCGCACGTCCCAGACACGACCCTCCAGCCCAGCCCTGAAATTTATAAATTAATTTTCTACCATATGTTTCAAAGATCATGGTGATATTATACATTTATTCTACGGAAGAGATAATGCTTGGAAAGTTTATATTAGGTTTTTTTTTTTTTTTTTGGTGGAGGGAACCAGGGATTGAACTCAGATCCTTGTGCTTGCCAGGGAAGTGCTTTTTCTACTGAGCCATCTCCCTGGCCCCCCCAGAAAGTTTATAAACTTAAGCAAAATATGTTGTTTAAAAGAATCAAGTCACATCAAGAATTTTCAGATTAGAATGATTCCCTGTCCTATGACAATAATAGCCAAGGTACCTACCAGGAATACCATTTGAAAAAAGGAGGTGGAGTTTTCCAGACAAACTTCTAAACTTTCAAAATGAGAAGATAACACCTAAGAAGATACGTCACCAGACTTAGAGGAACTGGTTTTCTGGCATTCACTATCTTCATGCTGGACAAGGGCAAATGCTAGAAGCAGTCTGCTAGGAAACAAGTCTGGAAATGTGGAACAATTACCTATACAATGAAGTATCTTGTTGGAATTAACAATCTTACTCAAGATTTATCTGTGTTACAGCATCATTTCATGCCCATCATCCATTAGCAGAAGGTACTGAGCGTAATTTTTTTATGAATTAATGACTTAATTAGGGTCCTCTAGTTTTTATAAGGCATTTTTGTAATGTTACTTATATGACATATCTGTTCTTCTGTTTTATGAATGAATAATTTACTATGTTTAAGAAAAGGAATGCCAATTTGTTACCTAAGTTTCATTAGCTCTAATAGTACCAGGCAGACATGATGAGAAACATGGGATCTTTGCCCCAATATTTCCCTAAAACAACCAAATGTGTATTGTCCAAAATATCTCCAGCGCTGCATGCTCAAGCCACTGGGTCTCTCCAAAATGCCTGATTACTGCAGCCTAGTTTTATTTGTAATTTTGCTCCCAAGAGTTATAAAACTCACTTACTAAACGAACTATACTGGGTATCTTCAACATTCTAAGCACCCTGCTAAAGAGTTAGGGACATAACCATGAACATTATGCAACATAGATTTTCAAAAACTTTACGAGCTGACCACAAAGACAAATGTAAATAACTAAGTGCACGCAGAGCATCAATGTGCACTAAGAGGTGCCTGCAGAGTAGAATGAGGGAGAAGCACTAACTGAAGGAGGCCCAGAGGAGGTTCTCTGGGAGGCAGGTTTTAAGAGGGTGCTGAAGGAGATACAAGCCAGGAGGACGTGCACGGCACACCGCAGGGACAGCAGGGAAGCAGCTCAAATGAAACAATCCCAGCTGTCACCAGGCCAAGGAAGCTCAGTGCAGTATGCCTGGTACTCAGGTGTGCTTAGGGGAAGAAGTCTGAGACCAGGGAGGGATGTACACTACTCCCTACACGTGGCTGGGAGCCACACTGAAAAGCTTTGATCTGTTCCTATTAGAGCTTGAAACTCACTGAGCTGTTCTCAAGAGGAAAGACACCTGCGCTGTGGCTTACAACACTCTGGCACTGCTGTGAAGAAAAGGCAACTGGTGAGGTAGGGGAGCTGGGGTCAGAGCCCAGGAGAAAGCCTTGGCTAGCTACAGCTCAGTCACAAGGGCTCAGCTACAGCAATGGCAGCAGGAGAATGAAAGGGACCAGACTACCTCCTGTGCCCCAGACACTAATTCACTTGTATCTCAAAAATTAAGAAAGTATAAAGAAGGATAAGTTGCTCAAGGTCACACAATTAGCAGTATGGGAGAAGAGGGGGAAAAAAAACAACCCAGACAATGAACAAGAGAAGGAAAACAACCACCCTAGGCAAAGAAAAAAAGAAACAGAAGGAAAAAAGCACAGTAGCAAATAAATAGTCTGTTATCTATTACTAGTTTATTCACAATGGGAAAAATAAGTGGGTTTATGGGCACAGGAGATAACTCAAACAATAAACTAAATAAATTAATTTCATACAGTACTTTAGGAGAATTTATTATGAAAAAGGAGAAGGTAAGTGACATTAGCAGAACTGAGGGGAGCCTTTGTGAGTGCAGTCCCAGTGAAGCAGTATCTGAGCAGACCTCCGAGAATTAAGAATATTTATGTTTAAGAAACTGCAAGAAGGGCAAGCTACCACGAGTGCAATAGGGAAGTACAGAGGAAGACAGAGGCCGTAACCAGTCATCTACTGCATATTACAACCAACTATTTAGAAAGTGACGTAAATACCACTAACAAAATTAAACTAAATCAAACTCTTACAACTGTAACACTCTTACTAGCATAATCAACTACCTTGCTATTTTTCAAATACACAAACTGTACATTACTGTACTTTGAAAATTAATGCACTTTTATTTTATGTAAGCAGGACTTACTCGCAGTCGTATAAGAGGCTTCTCTGGCTGTTGAGAATTTCCCAAACGTTCCCGCTCGGCCTTTTCAAGTATTTCTTCAATCTCAAAACAACAAAAACAAACAACAAAGACTTTAAAAAATATTAATTTAGTGTAAATTTGCTATACAATAACTTACATTCTTACCCTAAAGATTTTCCTAAACTACATGGTCATCTTTATTGCCTAAATCATTCACATCTTTTTAAATTACCTTCTTGTAATAGACTTTTTTTTCCACTAGTTCTGTTTTTCCTTTGTTCTTAGCAACTTTTCAATCTCTAAAGTGATTCTTTACAAGAAAATATACAACACTGTTTCTGCTACAATTTTTTTTAAATTTAATTAATTTATTTATTTGTGTGTGTGCGCGCGCGCGCACACGCGCCCAGCTCAGTCCACCAGGGGGCGGGCTGGCTGGCATGTGGTGCTGGGGGATTGAACCGCGGTCCCTGTGCTTTGCTAAGCTTGTTCTAAGTAGGTGCTTTAGACCACTGAACCATCTCACCAGCCCCTGTTTCTGCTACAATTTTCTATTCATATTTCAGTAAGTCTTCTCTCAACTTAAGAGCAAATAAACCTAGTTTTTACAGCCATATACAGAATATGTAAGAATCTAGAAACAAGAGGTCTTCTGTTACTTTTTGTGGAAGAATTCAGGCTAAAAGAAAACATGAAAACTTGTTCAAATATATGATGCTGTCTCATGCTACAGGGGAATAAGATTATAAAATTATGAACTTAGAAGGACAAAACCACCCACATTATCTGGTTCCTGAGGTGAAAACTAAATTGTAAAGTCAGATTTTAATCCCAACACAACTTTTAACACAGCTGTCTGCTTGCTGAAGATGTAGTCACTAATACATGCAGCCTTTCGTGAGAAAGACTCATCTAGTACTGCATGTCTGATAACTTAGTTCTCTCAGGAACAATAACAGAGCAAGTGTTTCTGCCTTCAGATCTCTCCAAATCTAAGATTTTATAATGTTTTCTTTTAATCTACAGGACTGGAGATATGCACAGTGGCTCAAGCACCTGCCTGGCAAGCACACGGTCCTGAGTTTGGTTCCTGGTACCAAAAATAAAATAAAATGAACTATAACACTAATAAACTAAAACACAGTTCAACAAAACTTTCAATGGTGATGTTTTCCATCTACAGTGTTCAGTATAATGGTCATAAACTATAGGTGCATGGATACAGAATAGTAGAAATGTGGCTAGTACAGGGAGGAAGTGCATTTTTAATTTAATTTAATTACTTACTGGTAAGCAATGAAATGTGTTCCTGACCACCATACTGGACAGCAGAGATGTAAGCCTATAATCTCCTAGTCCAGTGATGGCAAACCTATTAGAGTTTTCAATGACACAAACAGCCCACTGCAGTGTATGTGCTGAAGGTTCCCTCCTGCTGTCTCGATAATGAAGTCAGGAACAGAAACAAAACAGAGTACAGACAAAATATTTATGTGCGCACCCATGCGTCTAAATCGACCCTTATTACTTTTGCTATTGCTAGCACCCATTTTCCTTTCTGTATTCATGTGGCTGTTCAAAGTCCACGGGATTTAGTTAGAAACCACCTGGTGGATTTCAATCAGAGAAGATTTTCACTCCAAAGGGACACCTGACAACTGGTAACAGTTGTTGGTTTTTTGGGTTGGTCATGGTTGGGGGAGAATGGCACTTCAGGCATCTAACAAGGAGAGGCCTGGGAGAATACTAAACATCTAACAATGTAGACAGTGACCTCCCACAACAAAAAATTGTCTACAGGGCTGGTGAGATGGCTCAGTGGTCTAAAGCACCTACTTAGAACAAGCTAAGCTAAGCAAAGCAGAGGGACCGCGGTTCAATCCCCAGCACCACATGCCAGCCAGCCCCGGGGGGCCGCCCCCTGGTGGGCTGAACTGGCCACACACACAAAATAAATAAATAAATAAAAAATTAAAAAAAAAAAATTGTCTACAGTGTCAACTGAGCCCGAAGCTGAGAAACCCAATTACTTCAGAGAAGAGCGTATGTGTTGACCCTGGACAGCATCAGCCAAGAATCAGTTCATGCACTTTCCGTCTGCCTGATTTTAGGGATTGGGTTTTGAGACACATACATGATCTTATCCCAATAAAGTTCAATGCTCAAAATTAATTTAGTACAAAAGACACACAGTTCTGGGTGAAAGCATATTGCTAGCCTATTGGCCACCATATCAGAACGTCTCCCTTACAGTGTTGCTTACCAAAGAGCACCAGAGTGAGTAAGTGGTAGAGAACAGGACACAAAAACAGAGAAACTGATAACCCTATTTTAAGACTGAGTTCCTTGAGTTGGTCACCTTGAATCCAGCATGCTTTTAAAAACATTCTACTTATGCAAGCTACTCATTAATGATAAAGCATGACACTTGACAAGTAACTTAATCTAAGTTCAGCTCATTATAGCTGAAATGTGGACGGCAGGACTGCAGGTATAGCTCAGTAGCAGAGCAGTGGCCTAGCACAGCAAGACTCTGATCCCCAAGTTCTATCTCCAGAGGTGCAAAACAACAAAATAAATGAGATTGGTAGAACTTATCTACTTACACCACTGCTGAATAGATTAAATGCAAAATGCTTTCAATAATGCACAGTACATAAGCAGTCACAATTATTATCAATATTACCTTATATTTCTTTAATGAGAAAAAAATGTATAATGCAGCAAAGGGCAAGAACAGAATAAATGTCAGCAATCGCTGTTACTATGGCATCCAGCTACGTACTAATAAATGCATTCCCCAAACTCAATAGGGGCACTAGAGTTTCTACAGAGGGCTAGAGGCAGTGATCGGCAAGAAGGCTTAGGCTAACGGCAGAGCACTCTCAAGATAAAATGGGTGCTAGGTATCAGAACATCCTCTCACCTGCAACCAAAGTTACTATCTGTTTTTATAAGCAAAATGAAGCAATTACCAAATCAGGATAATAAAGAAAAGACTGTACTATGCTTCTCTTGTTTCTTTTTTTTGTGGTACCGGAGACTGAACTCAGGACCTCATAATTGCCAGGCAGGCACTTATTCTACTGAACTATTTCCCTGGCCCATGCTATGTTTCTTAAAAGAAAGAGAGGTTTTCTTTTTCTATACTTTACATTACTCTATTAAATGACCATAAAAGAAAAAATGTTTGATACAAATGCATTTTCTTAAACAACACGTATCTTACTATTCAATTCACAAGAATGAAATAAATCAAGTAAAGGCTTTCCTATTTTATATCCTATCATATTATATTATGCTATGCTATATTATATTACATTACATTATTTATTTGTATGTGTTTGGTACAGGATCTCACTATGCAGCTCAGACTTGCAGTGATCCTCCTGTTGCCAGCCTCCCCAGCATTGGGATTACAGGTATGCATCATCACGCCCAGACTCGGTCACTCAGTGCACCCAATAGTGGGGCTGGTGAGGCACCTGGTCCCTGTGCTTGCCTAAGTAGGCACTTAGTCTACTAAGCTATCTTGCCGGCCCTTATATTACTTAATTGAAATAAAATAATTGTTTGTCAAAGTAGATCTTACTGACTTTATAGAAAAGATTACCTTTTCCACACAGAAGCTCTGTATGACTTGGGTTACTTTGGGATTGTCCGGGTTAAAAATGTTTGGATGATTAGCCAGAACAACATCTTCCATAAAAAACTGTCTCACTGTCTGAAGAGCAATTTTGTGCATATTCATTTTTCTCCCTTTAATATGCAGCAAGCCAACATGTCTAACATGGGAAAAAATTGAAAGTTTAATCAGGACATAAATTTTCTCAGGAAATGTACAAATAAAATCTGTCCTAAAAAAAAAGCTAATTTTTA